AATAATAATAATATATTAATAATAATAATAATAATAATAATAATAATAATAATAATAATAATAATAATAATAATAATAATAATAATAATAATAATAATAATAATAATAATAGTAATAATAATAATAATAATAATAATAATAATAATAGCAGCAATATAGCAATAGCAATAGATCTATTTTCCGTCAAATGATCCCTAGTAGAATGAGCAAAAAACAGAGAGAAAAGAACTTAAGACTTCCGAACTCTTATTCTTGCATTAATTCCAATGAGCCGAATCCAATTTCATTAATCCTTCAAGGTAAGTTCAGATCAATAATTATTATATCATTCAGTCATTAACCGGTAATAGAATCCTCGAAACTAGTGTTCCATATACTACTCAGTCATAGACTGTTAATTATATACCAATGAATCAAGATTCCTTAAGGCGTACTTGTTCAATCGTATAAATTTGTAGATTGGAAGCTCACTTCTCATTACTAATTCCTTCCCATTAAACGAAGGTATTCATTCCTAATTATTTAATCCTGCAAATTATTCAACTGGTCTATTTTTTTCAGTTCAACGAGTATTAAATAATGATTGCAATTTCCGAAAACAACAGTGTTTATTGTTGATTGGTTGATATCTGGTTGTGATTAAATGGTGGAGTCTTTGATTCATTTCACTTCAAGATGTGTCATCTATCTGATGACAATTATTATGTTCGGTATCACAACAGTTACCATCAATCAGAGCATCCTTGCCATCATTTATTTCATCCTTTTCAGCACTTATTGCATCATTTTTCAAGTAATCTCTTCTCTTTTCAATTAATTTGAAGTCATTTACCACAACCTCATTTTTATCCCTTCATTAGCAATATCGCATGTAAGGCTAAATTAACAAGTACTAAGGGATGATCAAAACCTATTAATTGGTGTTATTTGTCAAAATACCGATGTGTTGAGCTAAGAGCTAAAAAGTTGAGATTTGATGAGCCTAAGAGCTAAGAGATTGAGATTTGATGAGCCTAAGAGCTAAGAGGTTGAGATTTGATGAGGCTAAGAGCTAAGAGGTTTTTGATTGGTCCGCTACACTCATGTTACGCTATCCTAATTTCCAGACATCGATGACTTTTTTCCTGCACCGTAGTACTTTTTTCTGGTATATGTTGATCGCATTAACATTAACTCATCTGGTTCTGTTGATCGATCGATATATTGCAAAATATGAAGTTGATAGTAACGACATTCTTCTTGGTCCATTAGCTACCGAGTACCGAGGTAATATTTCACCAAAATCATCTGTTACCTTATCTTAGTAAGAAAAGGTGAATGATCACGGCACACGTGGAAGTTTTGCTGCTTCACTTGGGTTTCGATCAGAGTTCAAAGTAATCCAAAACCAATTATATTTCTTTTAAAAGAGTTATTGAACTGTTTTTATTGGGTGGTTCTTCAATTAGGTTCTTTTCAAAAGCAAATTTTGTGGCCATGTTTAGTCATCACTGAAAGAGAGTTTTGTTGTGTTATTTTTTTCTTTAGTGCTGCCAAATATTGTGGGGCGCTATGTGACCGTTTCCATGTTATTTGTGCTAACCGCTCTGTGCGCTTTCGTAGATCTCACTTCGCTGAACTACAAAGGTATTCCTATCAGAAATTATTCATCAAAGTTTTTATCGATATATGCTAACTTTCTGCTTAATTGCGCAACATCTGAACCACGAACTTTGCGTTTTCTTTCCCAGTTAAATTGCTACCACTTTGTTCTACGTTGATGCGAGATTTTGGACGAATATTACTGATTACTTGTATAAGATTGAGCGATATTTCGTGCGCACTTTCACTTGCATTTTGCGCCATCCACAGAGTAAGTTTGCTAAAGACTTTAAAAACAATGTTTAATTAGTACAAAATATTATGCCGTAGAATTTCATGTCCAAGCCTTTCCTAGGTCACCTTATTTTTGATCTGAAATAACAGGTTCATTCTAGACATATGCTTCATATCACTTGACTTATACCGTTTCATTTACTTCTAGATTCCGTCTTGGTATTTCAATATTCTTTCCAAACGATAAACAGTTGAGATATATCCTTACCCAAAGTTCATTTTCATTGAAATAAACGGAAATTTGATTGTAGGTATCACTCGCTGCCTTACCTATGCTCCTTGTCGCAGTACTACTATTCATTCCACTGCCAGCAAGTATCAAAAGGGTCGCTTGTTTCTTTATTACCTATTATGTGTTAGTTGTTACGATATTTAAGTTGATATTTGATGCATATGAAGGATTCATTCATTATCCGGATTTCTGCAACACTCCTCATTTGACAAAATGGTTGTATTGGATCGGACTGATTTCAGATAATCCCAGACCGGCTCTGGTTTGTCTTTTAAAACGCCACTTCAAATAACTTCAACCATTCCTTACCATAATATTTCCTATGGTGAATGAACGTTTTTTCCAATAATGTTCATAAGCACTCTGTAATGAACTACATTTATTACTCATAAAGAAGGTAATCCTATATTCAGGCTCCGGTAGTTTGTATATGTACTCTTACTGTACGGTCTTCTCTTCAACATATTAAAAAAATGTATACGATGCATTATAAGAAAGTACTACCAATTTTGCCATTTCCGGACGTGGATTGCACTAATGCCGATAAAGGAACCATTTATTTTGTCAAATTTTATGCAAATTTTATCCTGTACAAATTTGGTTATGAGGTAAATAACATCTGAACGCAAGTAAGAAGTAACTAAGACCAATCTTCATAATCCCCGCCGGATCATCTATTTGTTGTGTGCTGGAGATCAGGTAGGAAAAGTTGCGGGGTTGAAAAAAAAGAAAATGGAACTCGAAATCACCTAACTCTCATCAATTCATAGAGAATATTTAGACTCTGAAATTACTTTAATTTACAGAGCATGATAAGCATGTCGATCGGTTAAAGTTAATTACTTCAACTAGCCAATACATTCTTACGGAAGAAAACTAGAATTGGGAGGTTATGGTAAAGAGTAGCTAAGTTCAATACATCAGCAGATTAAATATCTAGCTAATTAGAAAATAATGCCAATGCATTAGAAAAAGTAGAAGTTCATTATAGAGTTGATTATGTTATTTCAGATTTTACTTCTAGAATATTTGAACTTTAGATGTATATGACTCTCGTCCTTCTCTCAGCAGTAGTAGCTTCAAACATTATCTCGCTGTTATCAGTGACGAACTTGGTGATTTGCTTGCTAATGGATCGATGGCGTGTTCGACGTATATTCTTGATTTTTGTCTGCTATCACTTGGTCGTCCTCATCTACTCGTTGCTTGCATACATTGGTCCTATGCCTGGTGAATGTCATTACGGTAAGGATGGACTACATTAATCTGTAAATATTCAGATAAATTAAATTATGCAATCGTGGTATAACTTGGTGAAAGGGCACGACCACTTTCTGATCGCTAGCATCTGATTTTACCTAACATGTTCATTTTCTGTAGTGTTGTGATTGTCGTGGAAGTCGTTTTTATCGAAGATATGCTGTTGGTTGGCACCGATGAATAATTTGTGTGGGAAGCTTCTTTGTTTAGGAATAATTATTCTTAGATGTAATAAAGCAGGTGTCGACGGATAATACAGGTAAAGTCGCTCACTGGGTTTGTAGGTCCTAGCAGGAATATTTTTTGAAAAGAATTCGGAAGCGATATTCGACAAGGGGCAATAACAATGCGACTGGTCAAAAGGTCATTTTCTATAGTGTTGTTGTTGTTGTCATAAAAGTTGCTTTGTCGAACAAGTTGTGTTGTTGATTGACACCGACGAATCAAAGTATTTCTACATGGAGCCACAAACCAGTTCCTGTTCATAGAGTGAGAATGGTTATAATATTCCCATAAAGCA